TCTCCGTCCTCGAGATGCACAACGCCCGATCCTCTCTCTCGGGAACGCATATGTGAGGATGAACGTGACGCCTTCCTTGCCGAGGCCTACTTCCTTGCCCGAGAAAGACTCGCCTCTGCGGCTCTCGTAGCATGGACATCAGACGTCTTCGTCGGCAAAGCACTCCCGTGTCGGTCCTCAAACTCGGCCATGGCGGTGTGCCGAGCACCATCCACACTCCCAATGGATCGTTTACCCATAGACGGTGCAGATGGCCTGCCAACATTCCGGACTCCCTGCTCATCCATCCCCCCAGTACTCTTCCCGCTGGCATAGAATGCCACTGTCGGCAAAACAGTGGCTCTGTCGCGCCGTACTGTCGCCGATGACCCAACCACAAGCTGTTCTGTCGCGTCCGCGCCACTGTTTGTGACCGGGGACGCTCGCATCTGCGCCGACAGCCGCGGCAATCGGATGATGCTCTAAGTTTGACGGCGGACTTGGGGGTCTTGCTTCTCTTTCGAGTGTGTCAACTGGCCCACCAGGARACCCTTCCTCTGCGCCGTCAAACGAATGAGAAAGACTGCGTTGTGCGATGCTGCGCTGACCGTCGCGGCGGTGTCGTGTCGCCGTCTCCGCCAAACCAAGGGCCACCTCGCGTAGTTTGCCAACACAAAAAATTGTGGGCGTGGCAGACACCATTGGGCTCATAATCATATCGGCGATATCGCCTCCTGCCACGTCAAACCCGTCCGATCCACGCTCCATGACAACAGGCTGTTATGGCTTGGGCGGTGACACATGGGGTAGACCTGGGGATATCAACGTCGACAAGTCCGGTAGAGAAACAAGCGCAGAGTCCATGGTCAGTAACTCGCCGGTACCCGGAAGACTGCCGGTGGGGCATGCGAGGCCGACATGGTCTGCGGCGCTCTGCTCGGCTGCGGGAGTGTGTGAGATATCACGTTCCGGGAGATCGTCGCCTTGACACACAACAACGGTCCCCTGACTCCCCTCCATCAATGCAGGTGGTGGTCGCGGTTGAACACTGCGAAGTGGGAGCATACTTTCTTGCTCCGCCGCTGCCAGTGGTTGTCCCACATTTGAGGTCGCTGCAACTGAGACTGCCGCTCCGGCAGATGTGAGTGGATGCAGTGCACCGACAGAACCCTCGTCCCGCACTGCCGGGAGAGGAYTGATCTCTCCCTGAACCTCGGGATGACGCATCAACGGTGCTGGACCCTGTTGCGATTCTGGGACTGCTGCAGAAGGCCCCATCGGAGCTGTCGCGTGCATACTCGAAGTGTCACCTCGTGGATGACCGCTCCCGCCATGCAGCTCGATCCGCTCCTCGCCGCCGTGATCACTGAAAGAGTCCTCAGAAACTGGAATCTGCCCAGTTGCGGGGACTCGTGATAGTGGAATGCTAGCAACCCCACCATGACGTTTGCGCACACGTGAAGCGATAGTGTCTTTTTCCCTTGGTCCGCGTTTCAAGCGCCTCAGGTCACCGCCCGGGACAGGTCGTGAACCATCATCATGCACTCCATCTCGAGCGTCATCTACTGCTGTGCGGTGCTCGCCCCCTGCCCCGGCGGCGCGCATCGTGTCACCATGTGCAGGTCGTGGCCTATCTCCTCCGTCACCGTGATCATTGCCACTGGCGCCATCGTCGTCGCCCACGTTCGGGTGACGGTCGTCAAAATCGTTGTCGCCATCCTATGCAGGCCTGCCAGTCCCGAAGAAATCCTCGTCATCGAGCTCTCGTAGAAAAAGTCTCCCTCATCCCATCGCTGTCGAGGCTTGCGTACTAGCTCGTCCACTGCCCTTCCACAACTCGCGACACTACGCCTCCCGCGAGGACCTTCACGCCCGCCTCGCCCTCAACCGCCCCGACGACCACCTCCGCGACCGCCGCCACGACACCTCCTCCTGTCAGACTCCCGCAAGCGACGAGTGGCTCCCATGCGGGACACGACGCGCATCCTCTCTCTCACCTATGTCAACTCCTCCTTCGTGACCGTCACACGGGCTCCTCGGTCTGCTACAAGCTGCTGGTCGGTGGGCACCTCCTCCTCCACCTGCTGCGAGTAGTGCACCCARCTCCCATACGGATGTGGCCTGTCACTGGGAGCATCGTCCGACATAGCCTGCCTGTCGAGGAGCCGAAGGTTCCAATGGCATCGCACGAGCTTCTCGGCCCGCGCTACCTCCAATCTGTTACGAGATTTGGAGTGGATGAAACTCCAACGGGACCAAGCTCTCTCGCAAGGCAGCGCAGTCGCCCACACACGCAGTGTCCTGCCAACGAAGAAGGCCGTGTGCGGGAACCTCTTCTCCTTCGACTCCCAGAAACAGGCTGGATGGGTATAGCTCCTCGCCGCCCGGTCCATGGCCACGTCGTCGAATGGCGGCTCCCTGGAATGGAACTTGTCAATGGCAGTGAGGACCTCGTTGTGCTGATCCGAATGTTCCGGGTACCCAAACTGAATCAGAGCGAGTTTCAAACCGTGCTGCATCTCCTCGTCATCTGGCATCGTGCGGTCTCGAAACTCGGGGTCCAACATCATGGCAGCAACATGAGCAGGCGACTTGAACATGGTGCGGCGTCTGTCAAACACTTCAAGCAGCGCGTCCTGCTCGTCCTTCTCCAAAGCGGCACACGCGGACAAACAATGCGCGATCATCTCGTCGTACCGACGCAGAATCTTGCTTATCTGCCTCATGTCGCTGTCCACCATCTGCAGCATGTCCGTGATGGGATCTAACAACTTGCACAGCGTTCTCATATCCTCCTACCATTGAGGACAACCGACACATGTTGTGACCTCCGCGGCGTTGTCTCGAATCTTCTTCATTGACCAAACAGTGTCCTTCCATCGATCATCAACGACCACCTGCATAAGATGCGATTGCAGCAGAAGAAGTCGTCGCATCATAATCACATGCATACCGAAGCGAGTCTCGGCGGGAAGCAGCAGAGCCTTCGTCGTGAAAGCTTGCAAAACTTCGCGAGCGTGGCTATGACGCTTGAAAAACTTTGTGACCAAACGCGCYTGAGCAATGCGGGTCGCCACCCAGTCAATGCCGCCGATGTCCTCAAGGATGAGGTCCATGACGTGTGCCACACAAGGAATCCAGAAGATGTGCTTGACACTCTCATCCTTCTGGAACACCTCCATCGCAGAAACGTTCGAACTGGCAGAGTCTGTGACGAAAGCGGTGATGTCGGCGAGCTTGATGT